GAATAGAGCGAAGTTGTTAGATAAGTACGAACGCAATATAATGCTTCCTCAGCGTCATTCCTCTTCAGATGCCGGACTCTTGATTTTACTTGAGCGCTTTCACCTTGTTTTGACCAGTGTTTTGTTGTGAGCCTCTGTTAAGCAATGCATAGAAAGATCTTGTAAGGAAATTTGTAGCACTTGTTGGAATGCGACTGATCACCCGAGACATAAGCGTGCTCGTATCCGTTTGCTTATCGTCGCAACACACAACATGAAATTGCATATTATGGCTTCACAAAGCTTGGAATGGTCGTGTTCATTATTAGTAGGGTTAATACCTGCATGACTCTGTCAAGAAAGCCCAAAATTACAAAACTGACTTCTAAACAAGTTGTTTCCACACAGTCACTGCTTTATATGACCTTCTTATTGAGTGTTCCACTTGAGTACACAGCAAAAAACTTACAGGGAGGAACACCATTCACTTTCACACTAAAATATCTTTTGTTTGCTCATAAGTATACCGTCAAAGTCTTTTTCAGGCTCACGTTCATGTTACATTGTCGCGAATCTGGTGGAAAGTCTAAGTAGACTACGTGACATCTACTGGGCACTGTAAAAATGCATGCTTACATAGGAGTTAAATTCTATGCATTTATATATAAGAATGTGTGCACGCCTGTTGTACGTTCATTTGAACTATACATTAACACATGTGATAGCGAGGAATAACAAAGTCACGAAGTAGTACACATTGTTTGGTACTATTTACAGACTGTAATCACATCAGAGAGTGTCATACTTTTTCAAGGAGGCGTTGAAAATTATTGCTATAATGCGGATGACGAAGATTTACCATTCACACAGGTTCGCATCAAGGTGAAAGCTGCCTTCATTGTGAGTCATGTATGAGTCATATTTTTCTTAGTAATCCTATTTCTTCTGGGCTTTTGGTGTACACGAAAGTGATTTCTATGGACGGATTGACATCGACTCGGGAAAGTCGTATCTTTTTCCACCGACACTCGATCCAAACTATGCGATCTGGGACAGGCAGTTAGCTCTGAATCCATCAATACTGATACAACAAAATTTCATTTATCTGCTATTTTAGCAGTGAAGGTTGTTATATCTATGCCTATTAATCCACTGATATTCAGTGAATACGCGTAACTTCAAACCTCGAACCGGAGTCGAACTGGCTTTCACCCTTCCCAGGAGCGCGTACAAACCAATTGCGTTACCGTGGCTTCTATTCTGCTAACACTCTTTGTTCGATACAGAATATCGCCATGAAAGGGTGAAACGCAGGGTTCGATTCCAGTCCAAAGTACAAAAAATTGCACGTCACTGAAAATTTCGAACATTTATATCTACAATATCTTCTCCAGTGAACCTATATGGAATTATTCTATCAACATTCACAAAGAACACAATGAAAAGTTGTTCAAAAGTATGTACGAAGTTGGCGAGGTTCATTTCAATTTAAAACAAACAGTATGCGATCGTCTTCAAAGACTTCGATCTGACAAGGTTTTGCTCCTGGTCGGTCGGTTACTCGAATTTCCTCTCAAATCTATTCCTCTCATTTATAAAATCCAACAAAAATCATTCTCAAAAGTCATTCAGCAGTAATAGCGGAAATGTTCTTGAATAACCTTCGTTCTCTGGAACGGAATTGTGGTTCCTATATGGATGAAGGTATTGTAGATGACATTTTTCTTGTTAGGAGTAGGACTATAAGCTCCTTCATTCGAGTAGAAGCTCTTTCATCTGTTCAGATTCGATAGCGATATGAACAAATTATATCGTGTTGTGGGCGAATTGCGGTTGTTCAGGATTGACAAGGAGTTAGAGGTTGGATCTAGAGGTCTCTCTGCTTCGATTTTTGTGAAGAACATACCGATTGGTCGTTTAACCCTTTTGAGACCATTTGCTACAAGACGTAGCACGCCGTGCGACGTTGCGCTCCATTCAGCTACTGTTACGGCGGCTTCACATCTCGGAGTAAGGCAGGCAGCAGTGAACAAGATGGGTTTAGGTGATCAGATATGCCAGTAAGATCGCCTCTGAAGTTCATCGTGGCGCTGTGAAAGCCTATGAAGTTATGAAGTTTGCACTCTTTGTGATTTAAGGTGCTCGATAAACTGACAAGCATTTTCCTGCCGAGCGGTTAGTACTCACACATCTCAAGGAAGCAGGACTCGTCAGCGGTTCCTTGCTAAGATACACCCAGACGAATTTCAGAGAGCCTGCACGAATTCCATGGTCTTCCCGATATCACTAGTCTTCGCTCGGCACTTCTTCAATCGGCATTTTTCCCTGCGGTAGATCTTTCTCAGGTGACATTGACGAAATGATACAAGCTAGACTGGGAGCCGTATTCATGCCTCATGGTTTAGCACACTTTATTAGACTTGATGTTCGTGACTGTGGTAGCTGTTAGGGATATGTGAAATACTTTCATAACTGATTATGTGCTAATCGTTACAGAAATCTGACAGGATGCCCTGCCTCGATCGAAGCCTCCTAGTGTAAAGAGCTTGCGCACAACAAGAACATTACAGGAAAGAATGGTACTCACCCATGGACTTGTTTGGAAGAAAACCGCTTCGTAATATTATTAAAAATCACGTGAATAGAAAATCTGAGGTCATCACGATCAAGCCAGGATGCCAATTCATCTACACACTTCTCGACGCTGCACTTAACGATTCAAACCAAGCGGAATTCCTCGTCAAATCAGAAATTAACAAACATCGTGGACAAGGTGGAGTAGGTCGTCAACCAGAATCCTGTCTACTATACTTTCCTCATGAACGATTATGTTATTCAGGTCTGAATTGTGGACGATGTGATGATATGAGTCAAAGGCAACGAAGACATGAGTGATTTGCCAAGAACTGTAGAAGAAAGCAAACGGTTTATGTCAAATGGAGAATTCAACGACTCCAGTGCACAAAAGAGCATTCGTCTTAACTTAAACAAAAGTTAGCCTCCATTTATTACCTTACGTCAATGATCACATATTATTCATTTGATTCCCGTCCTATATGATATACTCCCAGTATTTTTTGAAATTTCCAGTGCCTCGATATCAAATCATCGCTTCAATAAATATCCTTTCAAAGATTACACAAAAGCAACAAAAGCAAGTGGGTAACGACTCCTTTGAGGTTACAAGTCGTTCTAGAATATATGCTACACGGGGCCACGCTCTTTGACAGCGACTTGTGCCATCAATGGATCTATGTGATTCAACACCCAACTACATAAGTCTAGTTTTACTTGAGGGCCATAAATTGTTAGTGAGTTAGGAACTTCACTGGCGTTTGAATTTACTTGAAATTGTGTAGAATCTTCGATTTCAAAACCTGCAAACATTACAGTACTGTAGACGGGGCAAAGTGCAGTTGGTAAACACAAGTTTATTAGCAGCACATTTTTTGACAAATATTCCACTGATAAGCTGAAATATTCAAAAATAAGATAAAGAAATCCAAAAAAAGCAGTGTTAGCTTCTTTTGTGCAGCGCGATAGCCACAAAAGAAAAGCCATAACATGGCAAACATGATGCGATCAGGTACCGCCTCCGTAATGTTTCTGGTAGACCTGGAATTAAGGTAGATACCAATGGGAATTTACTTCACGGAACAGTAGCAAGAATGAAGAATAATACACACTTGTAAATCCATCATTCATTAAAAAATGGTAAAGTTGTTCGTCTTCCATTGTCCTTGAGAAATGTCCCATGTATTGTACACCACCACGTGTCATTGATGTTACTGAATACGTACCCAGTGAACACCCCCTCGTGTCCATCGGGCTTTCGATTCTTCGGGGTCATCAAGCTGATGAACGGACTTGGTTGAAATGTCAAAAACATCAATTCAGTGCATAAGTAAGCAACCCTAGTTCATTCTAATTACCAGATATGCATTCTGTCACTTCCACTATGATTGCTGGAATCGAACAAGCTGCGTATTACTCAAGGGTTCATCAACAACCAACAGTTTATACTCCTTGACTGCATGGAAAAATTACCTAGATCATGTCGTCCTCTTCCACTTCAAGGCTCCTCGAAGTATTCCCATCATTTATTTGACGACCGTCGATTAGGAAACTGCAAAGACTCAAACACTAACTCTATTTGATGTCGAAGAGTCTTTTAAAGTTTGAACTGTGATATAATAAGCCGCATTTTAGCGCAATACATCAACAGGTACGCCGATGCGATTGGGGTACGATCGCTTCAGTTTGCCCATTGCAGTACCATTCTTTATACGAAAGAACCTAGTTCGAATCCTAGAAACAGTGCTTAGTAAACAGTACGGTTTCACGCCATTTTGAAGAAGCGTTTAAAGCTGTTTCTTTGTAATGGTACATAACGGACTAGCTCAAACAGCTAACCGTCGCCATGTGGATACCTACCTAGCAAGTGAAATTTTATGACTCTGTGCACCAAGTCCTCATTAAATAATCTCCTGTGGTGCTAACACTAATCAAATGTACAAAGTCGACGTCGATGAATCAATATAGAGGAATAATTAGAAAAAAGCACTGCATTCGATGTTTCTTGAAGTGACACTCACCCAATTTTGATCTCTAAAACTACCGTCTTTCAAGCGTACACTAAGAAACATGACAACTATCCCTGGAAATAAGGCATGCACCGAGACATCCAATTTTCGAAGCCATAAGTCATTTGTCTTGATTCGTCTCTTAGGTACTGAGTTAAAAAAAACTTTTCGAACAATTTTGTTTTTCGGAATGTATTCAGAAGTAGGAGGGCGAGACCTCCGAAACACGCGTGTATGGCTCTGCATACCAACCTCGGGTAAGGCTCTGAACATTCTTAAAATTTGGATTCATTTTACTTGACCGCCTATTGCGGTGGTATGATGTTACAACGAATCGAATAATGTAGGGTGATGTACAAAAGCATTTTCGTGAGCCGGGCTTCAAATGCAGATCTCACTTTTTCCGGAAGCGCATGCTGATGTCGGCTGGCGCACCTCGTGTCGGTTGTGCAACAGTTCAGCACGCGCTCGCGAAAAGAGTGAGATCTGGGTTTGAATCCCGGCTGACGCAAATACTTTTGCACACCACTACATTATTGGGTTGGCTTTACTATAGTTTAGAGCAGCTTGTTGCGGTTATTTTGATATATAGCACTTATATATTTATTCTGATATAAAACTGTCCCAAGAGCACAAGCGATTGTTGATGAGGTGTTTGAAGCAAGTTGAAGAATTCTTTGCTTCGCAGCAGACTAAGTTTTACCGCCGCAAGGGAATAAAATTACCTGAAAAATGGGAGCAAGTGATTGACTGAAGGGAAATACTTCCATAATGATTTGCTGTTTTCATTTGTTGAAAAAACGGGATAAACCTGTACAAAATGAAAATGCTCGGGAAATTTTTTTGCTAATTTAACTCGTCAATATTAAGATCCTTCCGAGGTGCGCATGTGGCGCAGTGGTTACAGATACTCTGCGTCGCACACGAGATCAATAGTTAGATCTCACTCTTATGGCTCATTAAGCCATCCATCCCTCCAGGGTTGGTAGAATAGTACCAGAATGGTTACAGACTTGTCTGGGAGGATAAGCAGCAATGACTCGGTTCGGCGGGAGGCCACCGCGAATCTTTGTGAAGGCCAGATAATCCTTCAATCACTTCAAACGAAGTTAGAAATTGAAGACGAATGCATGGCGCATCCCTCAGGGATTGATTAACGCCAAGAGCTTTATCCTTTTAGCTTAAGGTCTTCCAAACATAATTCAAGGAAATCAAAGGATACGTATACGACAATCAATAAATCCATACTCTAGTAAAAAGTACGAAATCTGCCAGTAATCAGGGTCGTCATAATCGTTAACGACCTCCGCTTACGGTCCAATACCTATGCTACTTTGAAATCTGGCCAGTAATTGTAGTAATCTAACTAAAACATTTCGTAAATGCAGTAGGTTTTTCTGATAAGCTCTCTCTCTCTCCTCTTTTTCCGTTGGAAATGTGGGCCACTTTTACATGTTCGTATCCGATAGTGCAAGATATTGCGGAAGCCAATACGAAAACAGTTATCCACATTTTCAGTGGAGTGAGTGAGAGAGGGTGGGGAGGGGACGGGAGAAATAAAGTGAGACACGTTTAGAGGGAACGCCTAAAACTAATCACCATAAAGCATAAAGCGATAACTGCCGGCGTTGATCAATCCCTCAGGGATTTCGTTTTCAATTTGTAGCATCTTATGAGGTGACTTAACGCATACCTGATTTTCACAATGACATGCGGTGGGCCTGCGCTGTATCGAGTCAGTGCTCTCAACCTTTCAGACAAGTCTGGGACCAGCGTGGTACCACTTTAACAACCCACGAGGTTTGGACGACTTGGTTAGCCGTGAACCTGAATTCGAACCATCGACCTTGTGCGCTACGCGTAACACCTTGAACCACCGCTCCATATCACCATACTGAGAGCAAACTACCGACGTGTGGTGCGTCAGCCGACATCAGCACGCGCTCCCGGAAAAAGTGAGACCTGCGTTTGAAGCCCGACCCACGCAAATGTTTTTGCACATCACCCTACATTACTGGATTCGTTGTAACATCATACCCCCGATTTAGGCGGTCAGAAAAAACGAATTCTGTAAAATTTTTAAGAATGTTCAGAGCCTTACCCGAGGTTGGTATGCAGAGCCGTACACGCGTGTTTCGGAGGTCTCGCCCTCCTCCTTCTGATTTTTTTAACTCAGTACCTAAGAGACGAATCAAGACAAATAACTTCTGGCTTCGAAAACTGGATGTCTCGGTGCATGCCTTATTTCCAGGGCTAGTTGTCATGTTTTTCTTAGTGTAAGCTTGGGAGATGGTTGTTTTAGAGATTAAAATGGGTGAAAATCACTTCATGAAACATCGAATACAATGTTTTTTTTCTATTTATTCCTCTATATTAATTCATCGATGTCGACTTTGTACATTTGGTTAGTGTTAGCACCAGAGGAGTTATTTAATGAGGGCTTGGTGCACAGAGTCATGAAATTCCACTTGCTAGGTAGGTGTCCACATGGCGACGGTTAGCTGTTTAAGCTAGTCCGTTATGTGCTTCCATGACATTACAAAGAAACAGCTTTAAACATTCCTTCAAAATGGCGTGAAACCGTACTATTTACTAAGCACTCTTTCTAGGATTCGAACGACGTTATCTTTCGCTCAAGGATCGATGGAGAACGAACAACTTTACCATTTTTTAATGAATGGTGGATGTACAAGTGTGTATTATTCTTCTTTCTTGCTACTGTTCCGTTAAGTAAATTCTCATTGGTATTTAATTTAATTCCAGGTCTACCAGAAACAGTACGGAGGCGGTACCTGATCGCATCATGTTTGCCATGTTATGGCTTTTCTTTTGTGGCTATCGTGCTGCATAAAAGAAGCTAACACTGCCTTTTTTGAGGTTCTTAATCTTTTTTTGAATATTTCAGCTTATTAATGAAACATTTGTGAAAAATGTGCTGCTAATAAACTTGTGTTTACCAACTGCACTTTGCCCCGTCTACAGCACTGTAATGTTTGCAAGTTTTGAAATCGAAGATTCTACACAATTTCAAGTAAATTCAAACACCAGTGAAGTTCCTAACTCACTAACAATTTATGGCCCTCAAGTAAAACTAGACGTATGTAGTTGGGTGTTGAATCACATAGATCCATTGATGGCACAAGTCGCTGTCAAAGAGCGTGGCCCCGTGTAGCATATATTCTAGAACGACTTGTAACCTCAAAGGAGTCGTTACCCACTTGCTTTTGTTGCTTTTGTGTAATCTTTAAAAGAATATTTATTGAAGCGATGATTCAATATAGAGGCACTTTAAAGCCTCTAAAAAATAAGAAAAATACCGGGTAGTATTTACTACGGGACGGGAATTAAATGGATAATATGTGATCATCGATGTTAGGAAATAAATGCAGGCTAACTTTTGTTTACGTAAGGACGAATGCTCTTTTGTGCAGTGGAATCGTTGAATTCTCCACTTAACATAAACCGTTCGCTTTCTTCTACAGTTCTTGGCAAATCACTCGTGTCTTAGTTGCCTTTGACCCATATCATCACATCGTCCTCGATTCGGACCTGAATAACATAATCGTTCATGAGGAAAATATAGTAGACAGGATTCTGGTTGACGACCTACTCCACCTTGTCCACGATATTTGTCAATTTCTGACTTGACTAGGAATTTGGCTTGGCGCTGATCGTTAAGTGCAGCTTCGAGAAGTGTATCGATGAAGTGGCATCCCGGCTTAATCGTTATGACCTCAAATTTTCTAGCCACAGAATTTTGATAATAAAACGAAGCGATTTCCTTCCAGAGAAGTCCTTCTGTAATGTTCTTGTTGTGCGCAAGCTCTTTAAACGAGGAGGCTTCGATCGAGGCAGGGCATTCTGTCAGATTTCTGTAATGATCAGCACATAATCAGTTATGGAAGTATTTCACATATCCCTAGACAGCTACCACAATCGCGTACATCAAGTCTAATAAAGTGTACTGAACCATGAGGCATGAATACGGCTCCCAGTCTAGCTTGAATTATCTCGTCAATGTCACTTGAGAAAGATCTACCGTAGGGAAAAATGTCGATTAAAGATGTGCCGTGCGAAGACTAGTGATATTGGGAAAACCATGGAATTCGTGCAGGCTCTCTAAATTTCGTCTGGGTGCATCTTAGCAACGAACCTTTAACGAGTCCTGCTTCCTTAAGATGTGTGAGCACTACCCGCTCGGCAAGAAAATGCTTGTCAGTCCATCGAGCACCTTAAATCACAAAGAGTGCAAACTTCTTAGCAGATTATGAATGAAAAGAGATAGAGATGAAAACGCTTGGTTCGCATCAGGGACTGTGTTGAAGACTATTTTCTGCTTATCGACGAAGTTTCCATTTGTCGGGAACGATCTGGTGATATCAGAGGCTCTAGAGAAATTAACTTTTTAGGGAGAAGAAGAACTAGTAAGTTAAATTCTAATTTCACAATAATTTTTTATTTTTTGCTTTTTTATTCCATGTATATTATTTTTCATATTATATTTATATTAGTTTTTTATCATTATAATTGAAAAATAAGAATAATTAGTGAATATATACTTACCATAGCAATTATTCTGCTCTCATGTCGAACGAGCACATATCACCGTCTTCAATCTGCTTTTCGTTAGGCGTGTTCGCATCTCCATAATAAAGGATAGAACAGTTGTCTCACCTTAAAAATGTTTGGACACCGGTAAGTTTATAAGCTTGTATTCCAGTGATAAAGCCAAAGAATTAGCTCTTGGTGTTGATTAATCCCTGAGGGATATGCCGTACATTCGACTTCATCAAGATGGGTTATGTGTATTCAATGTCTATCTGGCCTGTACATTAACTCGCCGTGGGCCGCCGACGCATCAAGTCAATGCTCTGTACTGTTAGACGAATTTGGTGCTAAATCACTGACCCGGAGGGAGGGAAAGCTTAGTGAGCCTTGGGAAGGCTCGAGCCATCGACTTTGTGTGCAATGGAGAGCACCTCGAACCGCTGCGTTACACGCTCACTCATCCAATATTAAGAGGATGTAACTCACCGAAAGAGGGCACCAGTTTTCAAATAAAAACACGTGTCGAACTATTTGTAAGGAAAAACTCAACATGGTCGTATTCTCATTGACATTCACGGAGTATTTGAACAAGAGAGCAAGTTAGTTAAGAGAAATATGGAGGCACATATTAGTCCAGAATTGATCAAATATCAATACAGAATCTTCGGAATCAAATATGTCTGTTGAGTTAAAACAAAAAACTTGCGATACTGCGATACATGTGTAAGCCAAATAACGACAACCACCATGGTAGTAAGATGTATGACGAAAAACGCTATAAAAATACTTTGTAGAAGTTGGACGTGAAGACAACGAATGTAACGTTTTGTTGCTCTTTTTGCAGTTTCATGATGTTTCTAATATACCTGAGGAAAATGAGTGATGAACGAAAATCCTAAATCAGACGGGAGTTGAACCCGTGTTTTCCCTAATTTTATTTTACCACGCGTATAACTCGCTGGA